CAGGCCGACCCCTGTGCGCGCCGCCGGGAGGGACTGACGCCCAGGCCCCTCTGCTAGACGAATCTTCTCCGCTCCCTGCCCTAAGCTGTGTGCTGCTAAACAGCTGCCACGCCCTGTTTCAGAGGTGGCTGCATTTTGGTGGTGATTTGTGGGAGTTAAAGGCTGCAAAGCATTCTGGGATCTGCCGGGGTGTGAGGCGTTGTCTGACGGGCAGACGTGGTGGTGGCCAAGCAGCGGCTGAAAGCGTCGCGGTACCAGCCGGGGCTTGGTAAACGGCGTGAAATTACTCAGTTGTTTCCAGCTGCCAGGTGTCTAGGCACAAACCAACCCCTTCGTGCTGGTCGCCAGTGGGGGCTGCAGTTCACACCAAGGGACCCAGCCCTGCCAAGGGGCAAAGCCGTGCGCGTCTCCTCCCAGGGCCCGTTGGCCTGAGCCATGTTCCACTCAAGCGGTGCCGCGAAAGGGGAGAGCGGGGGGGGAGGGTCTGTGCAGCGCCCGGCGTGACGGGGTCCCCCGATCTCAGGGGAGGGGTCTGTGCAGTGCCGGTCAGTCTGCACCCACATCTGCCTGGCTCAAGGTGTCCGTGCCACGACCAGGTGGCCACATGCCCTGCACCAGCTACCACAGAGCCACTCCGGTGCCCTCCCAGCCCTGTCTTTGGTGCTCTTGTGACGGGTTCCCCTGGGCTGCCACCTGGAACTGGGGTACCACTGAATCTCCTGACCCACCAGCCTGGGCTCCCTTTACACTGTGCTGCTGTGACGAGGTGCCACACCCAGTCTGCACTTTCACCAGCATTCGCACAGGTAGGGACACGCCCAGCTGCAGTTACACGCAGGCTCTCTGACCGCCAGCCCCCCAGCCTAGGCCCCAGAGCAGCACCGTCCTGCCCCGGTCAAATGTGGCCAGTCTATGGGATTAATACCTGGTCCACCTCTCCCTCAATGTGAAGAGAACAACGTCCACTTGCGGTAACCACGCCGAGATTTTCCCCAGGCTCCTTAGTCAAATGCACACTGGTTCGGATTAAAACATAAAATAAGTTTCTTAACTACAAAAGGATGGATTTTAGGTGAGTATAAGTGACAGCAAACAGAGCAGGTTACCAAGCAAACAAACAAAACTGCAAACTGAGCTTAACACACCAGACAGGTAGAGATGAATTCGCAGGTTCTCACCCTGAGTGATAATTCTCACCCCACTCCCAGCCTGGCAGAGGCTTAAGACACAGGCTACCTTGGCTTTGGGGCGTGGGTTTCCCAGCTTTTCATACACAGGTTACAAATCCCTCTAGCCCGGGACCAGCACCTCCCCCAGTTCGGTCCTTGCCCCCGGGGGGTTTCCAGGTGTGTGGTTGTCGGGAGAGTGACGTCCCCTCATGTGCATTTCCTCAGTGGGCCATGAACATTGTTTGGCCTTTTTACGATTGTACCTGAAAGGCGGCTGGTGGGTGTTTTCAACCCCCAACACGTTCCCGTAACACGTACGAAGCCAAACTCCGTAACCTCACACCCGACGAGAGCACAGCCCACCCAGCGAGATCTGTCTGTCTAGCAGAGCAAGACGTTTAGACCGACACCTCACATGGCAGACTTTGTACAACACATCTGAATTACGTGGCAGTGGTGCCGGGTGTCACAGCTCTGGGGGTTGGTGCTCTCCTGGGAAAGCCAGGGCTGCCAGGCCGTGGGGCAGGATGTGCCGCGTCTAGCCGGGCAGGGGGAGCTCAGTCATCGTTCTGGCATTTTCGATGCGTCTCAGCAGCGGCCACTGGGCTCTCCTGGGCTCTCCCCCACCCTGGTGCTGGACGCAGGCATGTAGCAGGGGCTCTGGTGGTCTCTGGGGGCCCATTCACTCAGGGGTTGGGGGGAGAAGCCTCTGTGACCACCAGAGCCTTGGCCCCGCTGCGTCATACTCACCAGCCGCGCATGGGTTAAGTCAGGCCTCGGCCGCGCTAGGTGCTGCACAGAGCACGGGGCAGACCCAGCCCCTGCACCTCCCGCCTTGTGGCCAGGGTCTGTGTGGGCCCGATGGCCGCGGGGGGGTGTGGCGGACGACGGAGCCTGGGCTGTGCGCGGGGGGAGGAGGGCCCAGCAGACGGAGAGACCCGCTCGGTGGGACTGTGGGTGTCTGGGAGTAGTGTGACACCGGCTGTAACATGGTGGCTGGGCACCCTGGGCAGGGGGCCGTCCAGGGTGTTTCTCTGCAGCCGGTGGGCCAAGGCAGCCCAGGGTGCTGGGGGGCAGCCAGGGGGACGGGGTCTGGGCAGGTGGGGCCTGTGAGGGGCAGAGCAGGGAGCTGGGGGACAGCCAGGGGGACGGGGTTTGACCGGGCAGGGCCTGGGAGGGGCAGCGCAGGGAGCTGGGGGACAGCCAGGGGGACGGGGTCTGGGCAGGTGGGGCCTGTGAGGGGCAGCGCAGGGAGCTGGGGGACAGCCAGGGGGACGGGGTCTGGGCAGGTGGGGCCTGCGAGGGGGAGCCCAGGGGTTCCCGGGGGGAGCCAGGTGGGAGAGACTGGCGGAGCCCACGGCAGGGACACCGGGCGCTGGGAGCGAGGGGTGGGCACGGCTGGGGGGCCCTGCGGGCGTCTGGCATTCAGCAGTCTGCGCTCTCCCTTGCAGTGGGGTGGGCCTGGCCCGCGCCCATTTCGAGAAGCAGCCGCCCTCCAACCTGCGGAAATCCAACTTCTTCCACTTCGTGCTGGCCATGTACGACCGGCAGGGGCAGCCCGTGGAGATCGAGCGCACCTCCTTCATCGACTTCGTGGAGAAGGACAGGGTGAGAGCCTGGCCCGCCCTGGGGACAGCCCCGCCCCCTCACTGTGCCCACCCCCTTCTTCGTGGCCAGGTTCGCCTCCTCCCTGTGCCTCCCCCCCACCCAGTGGCCTGCCCCACCCCCATTAGGGTTGCCAGGCATCTGGTTTTTGACCGGAACGCCCGGTCGAAAAGGGACCCTGGCGACTCCGGTCAGCACTGCCGACCGGGCTGTTAAAAGTCCAGGCAGCGGGGCTAAGGCAGCTCCCTGGCTCCGCGTGGCTCCTGGAAGCAGCGACAGGTCCCCCCTCCAGCTCCTAGGCGTAGGGACAGCTAGGCGGTTCCGTGCGCTGCCCCCACCCCAAGCGCCGGCTCTGCAGCGCCCATTGGAACTGTGGCCAATGGGAGCTGCGGGGGCGGCGCCTGCAAACAGGGCAGCTCACGGAGCCGCCTGGCCGCGCCTCTGCATAGGAGCTGGAGGGGGGACATGTCGCTGCTTCCGGGAGCTGCTTGAGGTAAGCGCCTCACCCTCCCCCCGTGCCCCTGCCCCCCGCCCCAGTCCTGATCCACCTCCCACCCTCCGAACCCCTCGGTCCCAGCCCGGAGCCCCCTCCTGCAGCCCAAACCCCTCATCCCCAGCCCCACCCCAGAGCCTGCACCCCCAGCCGGAGCCCTCGCCCCCTCCTGCACCCCAAACCCCTGAGCCAGCCCAGTGAAAATGAGCAAATGAATTGGGGGGGGGTAGAATGAGCGGGGGCGGGGCCTCAGTGGAGGGGCAGGACCCCAGAGGTGGGGCAGGAGGCGGGGCAAGGGTGTTCGGTTTTATGCGAGTAGAAAGTTGGCAACCCTAGACCCCGCCCTGTGCCTCACTCCTGCCCCGTGGCCCACCCCACTCCCACCCCTGCCTTATGCCCCGCCCCCTCCCCATGGCCAGCCTCGCCCCCTCCCTGCAACCTTGTCCCCTCCCTCCTGTGCCCCCCCCCCGTGGCCAGCCCCTCCCCCTCCCTGCCCCCTGCCCCATCTGTGGCCCTAGAGTGAGTGGGGACGTGGCACCAGGGGGGCGGGGGCTGCGGGTCGGGATTGAGGGGCATCGGCAGAGCCGTGGGTGGGGAGCGGTGCCTGGCTGGAGCTGTTCTGTCCCCCGTCTGGCCAGGGCCCCTCAGCCCGGCCCCGCTCAGACCAATCCCCCAAGGGGGCCGAGACCCCCCCAAACTCACGTCCTGGGTGGGGGACCCCGGGCAGCCGGCAGATCCTCAGTCCATCCCACCCCGCCCGTCTGCGTGGTGGAGGAGACCGCCCCAGCTCGGCAGAGGGGGCAGAGAGCCGTGTCCCAGGTCCCCCGGGGGGCTCGGCTCCCAGCCACCGGCCACCGGCCGACCTGCTGTCTCCCTCCCCAGGAGCAGAACGGTGAGAAAACCAACAACGGCATCCACTACCGCCTGCAGCTGCTGTACAGCAACGGTAAGGGGGGGCCGGGGCCGGGGGCCGGGGGGACAGGGCTGCGTTGCAGGGGAGCAGGGGCTAGGGGGTCAGGCGTCTGCTGGGGCAGGGGGCCGGTGGCAGGGGCCGGGGGGCTGCGGGGCTGGAGAGCAGGGGGGCTGCAGGGGCAGGGGGCCGGTGGCAGGGGCCGGGGGGCCGGGGGCTGCGGGGCTGGAGAGCAGGGGGGCTGTGGGATCAGGAGGTTTGGGGGCTGGGAGCCGGGGCCTCAGCCCCATGTATGGCCCCCAGGACTGACTCCCTGCCCCAGCCCAGCGCCTGCAGCCCTGTCACCCTCTCACGTCCATCCTGCGTCCAGCAGGGGCCGGGTGGGTCTCCTGCCTCCCCATCGATGTGCCGAGCTGCACGTTCTCAGGGGAGGGTCCTGGAGTACGTGGGGGCTGCGGGTCAGGAGTGAGGGGCACCGGCAGAGCTGGGGGAGCCCAGCGCTGGGCTAACGGGGGGCTGCGGGTCGGGAGTGAGGGGCACCGGCAGAGCTGGGAGAGCCCAGCACTGGGCTAACGGGGGGCTGTGGGTCGGGAGTGAGGGGATCGATGGAGCTTCACAGCCAGGTGAGACTGTCTCCTCTCCCCCCGGCAGGGCTGCGGACGGAGCAGGATCTCTACGTGCGGCTCATCGACTCCATGTCCAAGCAGGTAACGCTGCCAGCTGGGGACAGTGCAGGGGGAGGCCTGGTCCGGGGCTGGGGGTTCAGACCGGGTCACTCCTCCACCACTCCCAGGAACTCCTGTGCCTCTGAGGTGCCCCCAGCCCCAGCCTGGCCTGGCCTGCATCTCAGGCCGCCTTCTGCCCCCAGGGCTTCCCCAGGAGCACCCGTGTCCTTCCCCACGGCCCCCTGGGCGCGAGCGGCCCCATGGCTCCGGTGCACCCAGCCCTGCCCCCGTCCAGACCCGCCCAAAGGTGCCCCCTTCCCTGGCACCCTCCGTGCCGCACCCCTGGAGCAGACAGCCCTGAGCCTGGGCTCTCCGCTGGGCTGCCTGCGGCTGGCCCTGCCCGTCGGTCGCCCTCCCTGGGCAGGGGCTGTCCGTGCCCTGTACAGCGCCAAGCGCGCTGCGGGCCCAGCACAGCCACTGGGGGTCATGGCAAAGTGAGCGAGGACAGGTCCAGGGGTTCCCTCGCCCGTCCCCAGCTCGTGCCTCCCCTCAGCCTGGGGCTGGGTTGGCTTCACGCAGCCCTGCGTCCCTCCAGCGGTGCCACCCCGGCTCCCCCCGGATAGGCCAGCTCTGCGCTGCCCCGAGGGGTGGGAAGGGCAGCGAGAGGGGGTGGGGGAGCAGAGCGAGGGGGAGCGAAGTCGCCTGGGGGTGAGAGGGCCCCACAGCCGGGCCGAGTGTCGGGCAGGGAGCCGGGCTGGGCTCAGCACAGGAAGGACGCGGAGCTGGCGGGCAGCAGAGATCGCCCCCGGCGGGTGCCCAGGGCCTGTAGGGCTGCAGAGTGAGGGGAGGCCCTGGGGACGAGGTCCTGGAGCGACGGGCTCCAGCGGAGGATGGGCTGGCCGGCCCATGCAGCCCCGTGGCCGGGCAGCTCCCAGTTTGCTCTGTTCCCTCGGGGACTCTGAGACGTTCGGTCCCAGGTTCTCGGCCTGCGAGGGTCCAAGCCGCCTGCCTGGCCGGTGCCCATTGTGATCAGAGACCCCCCCGGGCCGCGCGCTGGCAGATCCCCTCACCCAGCGCTCTCTCCCACCAGGCCATCATCTACGAGGGGCAGGACAAAAACCCCGAGATGTGCCGCGTCCTGCTGACCCACGAGATCATGTGCAGGTAGGTGCCGGGCTCTGCCTCGGGGCCGGCGGGGCAGCGAGAACGCGCAGGGGCCACGTCCCCGCCCGGCTCCCATCCAGCCACCTGGCGGCTGCAGGAGTCGGCCTGCGGGCACGGCATGCCCTGCGCACGCGGCTGGTGGGGGGCACTGCCAGCACGGCCGCCGATTCTGCCTGGGCTCTCACGCCTCGCCCAGTGTCAGCCGCCCTCCTCTCTCCGTGCCCCCGGGCCCCCGCAGCCAGGCTGGGCAGGAACGCAGGGCACCTTCCGAGGGCGGCGGAGGCAGAGCCGTGGCCGGGTTGTTTGGCACATTGGTGGGAGGAACTGGGGGGCATCCGTGCCCGACACACGGACGGAGCCCGAGCTGGCCCGCCCGGAGCGCCGCCCTGGAGCGCCGGAGACCCGTGCCTCCCAGCCGGCTGCACACAGGTGGGCGGAGGGGGGGTGGGCAGCGAGCCAGCGGGGCCGGGAGCGTCTCCCCCCAGCTGCGTCTCCGCCGGGGTCCCTGGTGCCCCATTAGAGCTGCCTTGTTTATGAGCCTCGTGCTCGGTGTTTGTGGGAATTAGCGGCTGTGTCAGCGCCGGCTTTCCCGGCTAATTGATCTCCAGGCGCCTCACTAATGATCTCGGGGCTCAGGGACTAGTGGGGTCCCGGGGGGGGAGGGTGCGTACCCAGCCTCGGCTTTGTTTGTGTAACGGAGCCGCCCAGGGGCTCCCCTGCCTGCCCGGGGCCCGGCCTCAGCCAGCCTGACCATGGCCCAGCTGCGACTGGGACCAGGCCGGGGGTGGGGGGGCAGAGCCTCCCCCGCAGGGCCAGCGCTTCGAACCCACCTGGCTGGCAGCGAGCGAGCACCAGCGCCCCCCCCACCTACCCAGGGCTCGGGGAGTGGAGCTAGAGGGGCGCAGGGGGAGCCGGGGGGGCTGAGCGCCCCCAGCAGACGAGCGTCTCGATTGGTGCTTCGCCCCCAGGCTCACAGCAGGGCCTCGTCCCCTGTGTGATTAACCCCCAGCCCCAGAGCACCCCCAGAGCTGTGCGGGGGCCATGACAGCCGCTCCCACCCAGGGAACAGCACTCCCGGCCCCCAGGGCGCCCCCCAGCTCTCTGGGGCTTCCCACAGGGGTCGTGGGGGGCTCCTAGCCTGGGCCATCCTGTCCCCCTGTCCCCATCAGCCGTCCCTGGGGGTGGGAGGGGCACCAGGCCGAGGGTGCTGGGTTCTCCTCCCCCACTTACCCCGACTTCTCTCCCCCTCGCCCGGCCCAGCCGCTGCTGTGACAAGAAGAGCTGCGGGAACCGCAACGAGACGCCCTCCGACCCCGTCATCATCGACAGGTGAGCGGGCCCCGCGCCCCGTCCCCTGCGCCAGGCCGTGGGACCCCCCCAGACTGTCCTGGGGTCCTGTCCCGCACCCCGTCCCCTGTGCCAGGCCGTGGGACCCCCCCAGACTGTCCTGGGGTCCTGTCCCCGTGCCCCGTCCCCTGCGCCAGGCCGTGGGCCCCCCCCAGACTGTCCTGGGGTCCTGTCCCGCACCCCGTCCCCTGTGCCAGGCCGTGGGACCCCCCCCCGACTGTCCTGGGGTCCTGTCCTGCGCCCTGTCCCTGTGCCAGGCCGTGGGACCCCCCCAGACAGTCCTGGAGTCCTGTCCCCACGCCTCGTCCCCTGCGCCAGGCTGTGGGACCCCCCCAGACTGTCCTGGGGTCCTGTCCCCTGCGCCAGGCCGTGGGACCCCCACCCAGGCTGTCCTGGGGTCCTGTCCCGCGCCCCGTCCCCTATGCCAGGATGTGGGACCCCCCCCCGACCATCCTGGGGTCCTGTCCCCACGCCCCGTCCCCTGTGCCATGCTGTGGGACCCCCCCACCCCCGATCGTCGTGGGGTCCTGTCCCGCGCCCCATCCCCTGTGCCAGGCTGTGGGACCCCCCCAGACTGTCCTGGCCCTGTGGGCTGGATCCCCGTCAGGTGGGGCTCAGTGCCCGGGCCCGACCCCACCAGCTGAGCACCCCCAGCACTGCCAGGGGAGCTGGGCACAGGGCTGGGCCCTGAGAGACTGACGGGCACCTGGCTTGGCTGAGGTGGGGGTGGTGCCGAGAGCCCCGTCATCTCCCTCCCCCGCTGCCCTGGGGTGCCCTCGGCTGCATCTCCCTGGTCCCTGGGCTGTGTGTCTGTCTCCTCCCTGGGCTGGGCACCACGCTGCCTGGCTCCGTTCTGCCCCTCGTCTGCCCCTGCCTGCTGGCATCGTGGCTGGCCGGGTGCAGAAAGGGTGACCACAGGATGGGGAAATCGGGGTTCCAGCCTGGCTAGCGCCCTGCTCCATGCCGCAGTCCCCCCAGCTGTGCGCTGGGGGTGCTGATGCAGTCCTACACGCCTGGGGCTGTGCAGTGAAAGACGTTAAAGCTGGCGAATGGCCCTTGGGCAGGACAGGCTGGACAGACAGCACGTCCGTTCTCACCCAGCACACGGCTGGCCTGTGGAACTCACTGCCACAGGAGAGCTCTGCAGGATTCCAGAGGATCGGGCATTGGCATCGATAAGGAGAACACCAGTTACATTGTGGGGGCGGGGCAAGGGAAGGGGATGTAACTCCCACTGCTGGGCATGAGCCACCCTCCCACCGCCGGGCCTGGGACGAAACCCCCCTGGGGCGGGTTATTCCCTAATTGGCCATTGTGGGTTTTCTTTGGGTGTCCGATGCTGGTGCTATCAGATAGGACACCGTACTGGACTAGCCAGACTCCGTGTGTGACTGCGCTCTGTTGGATGGAATCTGTGTCGTAGGCCCTATACTGCCAATAGCAGCGATTCTCCATTAGCTGCAGTGGCAGGAGAAGCTGAGTTCTGTCCATGCTGTTGCTGTTCAGTGCCTCCAGCATGGGCATCGTGCCACTCTGGGGCTGAGTCCTTGGGGCCTGGCTTTGTGTCTCTGTTATTGCTATGTGCTGGGGACGGGGCTCCAGCGTGTGTGACGTGGGGAGGACATTCCCTGACAGCCAGTGCAGAGAGCAGGGGAGAGCTGGCCTGGGAGCACGAGCCAGATCTGTGTTCCCCCGTCCCGGTGTCCCCACTCCCCCGTGCACCGCGTCTCGTCCCCAGCGTGTTCCCCTGGCAGGGCCGGCTCCAGGGTTTTGGCCGCCCCAAGCAGCCAAACAAAACAAACCAAAAAAAGCCGCGATCGCGATCTGCGGCGACAATTCGGCGGGAAGTCCTTCGCGCCGAGCAGGGGTGAGGGACCGTCCGCCGAATTGCCGCCGAACAGCTGGACGTGCCGCCCCTCCCCGGAGTGGCCGCCCCAAGCACCTCCTTGGTAAGCTGGTGCCTGGAGCCGGCCCTGTCCCCTGGAGAAGAGCCGTCCCCAGCCAGCTCCGGTTTCCTGTGTGGGCGGCCGCAGGGCACAGAGCCACGCTGCAGTGATGCTGCATAACGGCCATTTCCCCCGTCCAGGCGGCGAGTCCTGGGGCTGGTGCCTCCCGGCAGCACCCAGATACCTGCGCGCCCCGACTGGGAGTGGGGCGGGGGCGGGAAGAGGTGGGGACACGGGGGAAGAGGCCCGGGTCACAGAGCCCCTTCCTGCATTCAGACCCCCGATGGCTCGGGGCACACAAACCGGACCTGGCGAACCTTACGCTGGGTTTGAACATTGACCAGGGCGCCAGTGACCGGAAGCTGTTCTCAGCCGGTGGCTGTGTTTGGCCCCAGTGCCAGACGAGTTCGGTGGGCCTCTGCCCTGGGGGTTGGTGCTTTCAGCAGAATCCAAGGTCTCGCTCGGCCGCAGAGTGCCCTCT